AACCAAAGGAGAAACACCTAGTGTTATAGTGCGACTACCTGGAGGCAGTTCCTACTTCCTGAGTGGTGCAAACTATGCAGCCTTTGAACACCGCAGCATGATGCAAGTGATGCCCATCCTAGTGGCCGACAAGTCGGCGCTGCAAAAAGGAAAGGCAGGGGAGATGGCGGCGCTCCGCGTGCGGGCTTTCCAGATGTATGCAACGTTCTACAAGGCGTTTCTAGGGGTCAGAGGACACACGCAGACCTCACTCAACATCGCCCGACAACATGCAATTAAGTATGTCAGGTGGCATGCAAAGGTGTTGGGTTATATGAGGCCTGAATGCATGCATATAAGGAATCTGCAGCATTTGGCCATGGTTTGCACGGCCTCACCTGTTTCCCTTTGCGATATGCTATTCCACAGGCTGGTGGAGATTTTGCCGCAAGCATACCCGGACCATGCGTCGTATTGGCGCTTTCTAAAGATTCACATGATTGTCCACTTGCTGGACAATGTGATCATGCGCGGGATGCCGCACCACTACAGCACAGAGATGTGGGAGCATACCTGTCAGGGGCAGTAACTGGAAGGACATCCCCACGCGTATCGCCGAAGAGGAGGTGCAGAGAGAGATCTGCAGGGAGGTGGCACATGACGCGGGTGGTGGCCGTCAGTATGCGACAGCTCTGCGCGAGGTGAGCCAGTCTGTTGCGGGATATACGGCAGGGGTTCTTGTATTTTGGCATGCCCCTCTTGCCCCACAGGCTTTTCGGTCAATTTCTCTCACACTGATGTAGTAAACCGTTGCCTGCCCTCCACGACAGGCTGTTCAGACGATGAAGCCCGTGCTTACGAGGAAGGGACGCACGATGCGACCGGCGGTGGAGGGCGACACTGTGATGGGCACCTACCGTAGCGCGCTGGCAGACCTCATGGACGCGCTGCCAGGGTGCATGGTGGCGGCGAACATCACGGCACAAGAGATCATGGTGCGTATACTCACGCCAGTGCATCAGCCTGTGTGGTGGCAGGCGATGTCGTTTACCGGTAGGCACGTGTATGCAGTCCCACACGTCATGATTAAGCGCATGTTGTCTGCTACCCTTTCCCCACAGATTCAAGCTCACACAGCTGTGGCGATTCCACGCACAAAGGATGGGGCACTGGTCTCAAAGAGCGAGTTCATAAAGGCAAGCCCCAAGGAGAACTGGTTCACGGACTTTGAAGTAAATTCGCCCAAGACTGGTACGCCAAGGCGCTGTGTATTTTTAAGGTCGCCACGGCCGACGGCCAACGGAAGGGTTTTGTGTACATGCGGTGGTTTTTTTTAAATAATATATTGAATGCATGCACCGTTAGGGCAAGTGTAGACAGACAATAAGCGGTTGTAACCGGGCTTGAGGGGACGGCCTGTCCGCCCCAGCTGAAAATCTACGGAGGGTTGAATACCGTGCAAGGATTGGACCAAATGGACTCGAAATGCTTGGTCCATGTCCACTTCTTATCCTCAGCGACATGAATCCGACTCAGCATTCTCTATTCCTCCAAGACAGATGCATGAAAGGACCCCCCTTGTCCAGCCTTCCTCCTTTTCTGCCACGTGTGAAGGCGAGATTTCAAGTAGACCCTCGTGTACTGTGTGAAAGCCATGATGATCTTCCTCAGCACTCGGCATGCACAAAACCCCTTTTTCCAGAAAACAGCTTCACACTTCTCGACCCAGATCTGATGAAGGGAAATGGCAATGAGCGTGGCTTCCGAGAAGGCGGATTTGGTGCCTGCTTTGTGGAACAACAGGTATGGCGTATGGCGTATGGCGCGCTTCAAAGCCGTTACCACAGTTTGAATACGTGGACACTCGAAAAGACAATGTTCCACCGTCTCCTTTGCTGCACAGTACGGGCAGACAGGCTTGCTGTTGAGAAAGGCCAGCCGTTCTCCCACTTGTAAGTTTAGATTCTATATCTTTGTCAGCAAGTCCCTCGGGCGGTTAGGAACGACAAGGGACTCCGCGACACTTGTCACCTTCTCCCAACAAATCCTATCACTTCACGTCACTTTGGCGCGTTATGGAATCTTGCGCGAGGGGCTCTGCATCCCCCTTAGAGTCGTCCCTTGAGGCAGTCGTGTTGCCGGGCCTCTCACGCTCAGTTACGACTGATATATATTTGTGTGCACTAGCGTCATCGGTGTATACTTTAACATATTAAAAAAAAAAAAAAAACCTTCTCCCAACAAATCCTTCCTCTCCATCTGTCCGCCCATTTCAATCTCCGCTGTGATTCCCCGTGCCCATCCTTCACAAGTTTCCTCATCTGCCGCTGAGACACCACCTGCCCGTTCTCGAAGATCGGCAGCTGCAGCAGCCTTCCTTCTGGCGGAACCGAGTCAGCCGAGCTTCCCCCAGGGTTAAGCAGGAGTGCTTTCCAGTTACTGGGAGCAGCTGCGAAAGCTTTCAGCGCCAACTTTGCCGGCCCCTTACCCCCTAACTCCAACACCAGAGTCTCCATGGTTTTTAGCACTGACGGTAACCCTTGCTCCCTGACGACCAAGTCGCCCAACGTCACCTCCCATAATTTCTCCGCAGCCTGTTGCCCGCCGACCGGTGCAGTCACACCCACAAATTTCATTTTATTGAAAACCAGCCGTTCCCGTGCCACAGCTTCCCAGGTGGTCAGCTCCGGCAAGGAGCAGAACGGAGATTTCATGAAACTCTCGCATGTCTGCTTCCAGCGTTGGCTCCGACCGTCCCAATTTTTCAGCAGCTTGTCATGCGCAACAAAGGAGCCCACGCCCAGCGGGAGATCTGCGGCACACATCATCAAATCTCGCTTCAGCGCGTTCACTTCCATGAGCAGCAAACCCACCCTCCTGGCCGATAAACAGGTCAGTATTACGATTGGATCTTAAACCCCCAGGCCGCCATCCCAACGTTTTGTGTATAGCAGGTCCTTGTTCCAGAGCGTGAAAACCTTCTCCGCCGTCGCCTTATTCCCCAATACAAAATTGTGAATCAGCTTCTCCAGCTCCTTCCAGACCTCCGCCGGTGGTGGATATACCTGCGCCTGAAAGGCCATGACCGGGTGGATGTAGCAGTTGGCAACAGTGGCTCTTGCCTTGGTGGTGAGAAACTTTTGCTTCCACTTCGTCAGCCTCTTTGCTATTTCCTCCAGCGCCTTCTCCCACGTTGGCAGGCCGCTGCCACTCGGGGTCACCCACACACCGAGCAATCTCTCCGCCTCGTCTGGCTCCACCCATTTGAAGCTCCCCGACGGCTCTTTGTCCACGTTTGCACCTAGTGGTAAGATGACCGATTTCCCTTTGTTCGTCGCAAGGCCCGACTTTTTCTCAAACTCCTCCAGAATCATCTTCGCCTGTGTTATCTGTTCCTCCCCTTGCAGTATGAGTGTAGTGTCATCGGCGTAACCCAAGTAGGACAGCCGGTGGCCCTCCAGACTCAAACCGAGCTGCATCTTTTCAACCTCTTGTGCCAACTGTCAGAATGTTGTATTTGTCTAGCCTGCAGTGGGGTACTCTATAGCGAGTACAGCCCAATCTAGGGTTCCTATATGTACTCAACTGCTTGCTAGTGCAACCTCTCTTTTCTGCCTCTAAACTTTCTACTACCTATCTTGACATGCTATCAGAGCAGGTCGACCCTCCTGGGTCGATCCTGTGGGTGGGCCCACCACCTAAGCCTTCCGCTGCTACTGCTACTGCTACTGCTACTCCCTGTCCGCCGCGCGCCCCGTGGCGCGCGGCGTCGAAACTAGGGTTTTCAGCCCGCCGTGCGCCCCGAGGCACGCGGCGGTTTTCTGCCCGCCGTGCGCCCCGAGGCGCGCGGCGGTTCTCTACCCGCCGTGTGCCCCGAGGCGCGCGGCGGGTTCCTGCCCCGTCACTCGGCACGTCGCCCCCGGGAGGCGCTGCGACGGGCGACGGGGACCCGCGCGTCGCCCCCCGTCGCCCGTCGTGGCCTGCGCGCGGCCCGTACACCCGGCACGCGGCCCGTACGGGCTGCGCCAGGCCTGCGCGCGGCCCGTACGGGCTGCGCCAGGCCCGCGCGCGGCCCGTACGGGCTGCGCCAGGCCCGCGCGCGGCCCGTACGGGCTGCGCCAGGCACGCGCGCGGCCCGTACGGGAAGCGCCAGGCCCGCGCGCGGCTCGGGCCGCCTGCGCGCGGTTCGGGCGGCTCTACCAGGCCCGTGGGCGGCCCGTTCCTCGCTGCTCCTGCCCTCTCCACTGTCCCCCGTGCTTCTACCGGCGCCTCACCCCTCCTACAGCCCGTTCTCCTAAATTAGGGTTTGGGGGTGAAGAGTGTGGGGGTGGCGGTTGTGGGGGTGCCGGTTGTGTGCCCCGTCCCCTACTCCTCCTCCTCCTCCGTCTCCCGCTGCTGCAGCTGCCGCTCAGGGGGGTGGGTGTGTGGGAGCCGAAGGAGTGGTGCTAGGGGGGTGACGTGGGAGTGGAGCTAGGGTTCCAGCAGGGGGTGTGTGAGAGGGGGGTGGGACAGTCGGGGGAGGTTGAGCGGAGGCTGCCGTCTTGTCGTCAGCAGCACCTGTAGTCCGGGGCGCTTGTTCCGGTAGCCCAGTCGTAGCCAGCTGCGCCAGTCGCCCGTGGGTCCGTTGCTCGTCTGCCGCTCTTCTTAGCCGCGGAGCCAGTTACTCCTGTAGTCCGGGGCGCTTGTTCCGGTAGCCACTGAGCCAGTTTGACTCCTGTTGCCCGTGTGTCTGCAGCTTCAGCCGACGCCTCTTATCTCCTCTCCACCTACAGTCTCGCCTCCTCCTCCTCACTTGCCCTTTGTGAATGCCTCTAGCTTTGCATGCACTTGTGAATCTGCTCTATGACTGCTTGCTCTGCTGATTATACCCCACTTTGACTATGGGGGTGTGTCAGAATGTTGTATTTGTCTAGCCTGCAGTGGGGTACTCTATAGCGAGTACAGCCCAATCTAGGGTTCCTATATGTACTCAACTGCTTGCTAGTGCAACCTCTCTTTTCTGCCTCTAAACTTTCTACTACCTATCTTGACACCAACAGCTCCACCGCATACAGGAACCGATATGGGGCCAGCGGACAACCTTGTCTCACCCCGGAGACCACATCAATGCCTTGCCCGATCCAACCGTTTACTAACAGCTTCATTGTGGTATGTGTGTGCAGCCCCTCCACCCAAGCCACAAAACGGGGCGGGAACCCCATCTCGCGAAGAATGTTGAAGAGAAAACTTCGCAACACCGAATCAAAAGCTTTCTGGAAATCCACCAGAAGCAAGTACCAGTCCTTGATCCCATTCTTTGCCGCATCAATAATGTCCGCTACCAGCGCCACGGCATCAGCAAGCCTTTGCCCGGGAATGAAGCCGTACTGCTCCGGGGAAATCACCAGGTGAAGAACTTTATTAATCCTGTCCGCCAGCAGCTTCGCCATGATCTTATAGGAGAAATTCAACAGCGTGATGGGCCTATAGTTGTTGAGCTGACTTCTGTCTCCCTTCTTATACAGGAGGATGGTGACCGCCTCCTTCACTTCATCTGGGAGCTCAGCAGTTGCGGTGAAATCTGCTACCAGTGCCATGAAGCTGCTACCGAGCACATCCCAATGTTCTTCAAAAAGTTCTTTCGGTAAGCCATCCGCACCCGGTGATTTGTTCCTCGCTAGCGACTTGAAAGCCGCTTTCACTTCATCTTCTGACCAGTCTGTTGCCAACCCCCCCGCTTCCGCTTCACAGAGCCTTTGCTTCGGCAACCAGTTAGAGAAATCCACCCTCCAATCTTTCCCGAAGAGCTTGTGGAAGAAGCCCGACGCTGCTTCCAGAATCTGCTTCGAGTCTGATACCATCCCGCCCTCAGCCTGGAGTTCCGTGATCTGCGTACGACACTTTCGCGCCTTAACCGTCGATGAGAGCATTTTCGACAAAACTTCTCCGACAAACTCCACCTTTAAACCAGCCATGAGATGAAGCCTGTCCCTCCGTGATGCTTAATAATCTTTGACTTGTGCCTCTTTAACTTTCAGCAGCTCCCTCCGTCTGGTGCACAGTGGGTGAGCAATGACCTCCAGCCTCAACGCCAGCATAGACACAGTGACGTGAAGGCGAGTAGCCCAAACCCTCTTCTGCTCCTCTGCCTTGCAATTAGTAGCTCGTAGCTGTGACCATCTGTCACCTCAAAATTTTGCGACACTTCTTCAATGATCTTTCTCACCCCTGGTCTGATCAGCAAAGCCGCTTGCATTCTCCACAGTCCCGGTCCACTGTGTACTCTAGCGTCTATCTTAAGACCAACTTTAATCCCAAAGCTGTGGTCTAATGCTTTCTCGAGCGGAGAGACGTGTTTGGCTAACTCTAGTCGAGGGAGGAGGGATAAGGATATGAGAGCGCGGTCTATGCGGGAGCTCGCCTTCTGCGGGTGTGAGTAAAACGTGTATTCGCGTTTTCTACGATGAGCTGAGTGGAAGGCGTCGGAGAGCTGGAAAGTTTTGCATCGGTTATACAGTTTAACGTTTTTAGTGGCTGTACCTTTCCCAGATGTCTTGTCTAAGTCTGGATTTTCAATCATGTTGAGATCTCCTATTATGAGCAGGTTCACGCTACTGGGGATCTGATCATTAACCGGGCCAAGTGCATCAGCGACGAAGGAGATTCGTGAGCTTGGGTCGGCCGGGAAATATACTGCTAAGAGGGTGATGGTAAGGCCGGGACTAGCGATATCGACTCTAACGATGCGTTTGGATGGGTGTGTCTGGATATTGGTGAAGGTTAAGGACTGGTTTCGACTAAGGATGGCTATTCCGCCAGCTCTAGATTGAGGTGAGGTTGTTGCTATTGTCAGGAAGAGAGAGGATGACCAGAATGTGTGGGTCGCTATGATCCGGGTGTCAATCAGGACTACTATGTCGGCTGCATCCCTAACCCATTCCGATATCTTGGTTTGCTTTGAGATATTACTGAGACCATTGACATTGAGACTCGCACAGGTGAGAAGATGGTTGTGACTCATTTGACCACTGACTGGCAGCCCCTCTGCAGCCACAGGCTGGAAAGAACGACTACACTGGTGAGGCTAGCTAAAGCTGAACAGCCGACTGCTACGGCGAAAGACCAGGTGAGTTTCAGCTTCAGAGATCGTACAGCTTCTTCATGGCGGCAAGGTTGGACTTTTCGAGGGAGGACTTGGTGGCAGAGCCCAGCTTCTCCAGCTCGATCATGTGCGAGGCAAGCCTGATGTGGTGTAAGGCTGGCATGAAACTTTCCCCATGCACTTTGTTGCTGCCGGCTTGGGTACAAAGCCATTCCTCCCGGTTGCTTCCCGTGGAAATCAGTGCCAGTGCAGGATCGCGGAGAAGGGGAAGGGTCAGTGTGGATGCTTTCTGGGAAGCAGCTGCAAGTGTCCAAACGGTCGTCAGTACGAGAATAAAGAGGTATGTAAAAGGATGAGCTGGTGAGCGCCGAAAAGGTAGGCGACATGTCATTACCATTCAACCGATGCACTTTCCCCAAAGTCAAATTCCATTTCCCAACATTATACTGACGCTCTACGGTGACAAAATTATGATTCTTATCATAATGTTGTCCCTCGCGGAGAGAGCAGGACAAGGCTGGGTAGTGGAGTAGTATCTTCCTGGCACGGTCGGCCAGGTCAGCGACTGCGTGAATCTAGTTATGCTGATCACCCTGATGCAGGTAAACCAGTCCCTTGACCACGTCTGTGTCTGCGCCGGTGACTGGATGCAGAACATGATGGACGTTGGAGCAGCACGCAAAAGCCGGGCGATTAGTACTCTTCAGCGGGTAACTTACCAGCCGGTCAATGATCATCTCCAGATCAACCGAAGCAGAGACACCCTTCAGCACCACCTCAACCGCCTGCGGGTTGCGAGCCTTCTCCCTTGCGAAACCGGCGTGTTCAGTGTGCTGCCAGTGTAGCTTGACCAGGTGACCGCTAAGACGTTGATACACCACTTCTTTCCTTGTCACTTTTGCAGCGTCATCAGGCAGGATGAAGGAGAGTTGCAGGCGGCAGTAACGCGTCTTGGCAATGTACGCAGGTTGCAGCACATGTAACTTCGTCGTCGACAGCGCTTCAGCGGAGAGCTCCGCATACCAGCCACATTTCATTAGCATTTTGACCGCATCCATGACACATACTATCTCCGCATTGAGCGAAAAAGGGATCAGCAGAATGACAGTGGTCCGAAGCCTGGACTCGGTCTCCTTCTCCAAGTCCACCAGCATCTCATCATCCGAGTCTTCGTCATCCATGAGGATCTTGTCAGCACCACTATGAACAGGTATGTCAGCCTTTTCAGTAGTCGTAAGGCCAGATCCACGAGCCACAACATTGTAGTCTGATGCGTTAACCACCTTCTCCCTCCGCTCAATCGCAAGCGACCACACCCTGCTTCACAGAACTGTGATGCTCGCTCCCCCTCTCCCAGGCACAAGATGAATGAGCACAAGCGTCAGGCCTACACTGCTTCCGAAAAGTTGAAGTGGGTCGCGCGGCTGGATGTTGCGGTGTCGGTGCGGTCTCTGGCTCGCGAGAGTGGCATCCATCGCAAATGCCTTACGAACTGGAAGCGCGCCGCGGACTTCCTCAAAGAGGTGCACTCCGCCCGTAAGCGCATGCACGGTCGCGGGCGAGCGTCGTGGTACCGGCCGATGGAGCTTAAGGTCTACAAGAGGCTCCTCGACTGGCGTCGCAAGGGAAGCGCTGTATCTGTCGGTCGCCTGCAGGAATGGTCTCGGGAATTCATGAAGCTTCTCTTCCCCGACGAGAAGTGGAAGGGGAGCCAACGGTGGTCTGAGCGCTTTCGGCGCCGATGGAATCTCAGCGTGCGCATGAAGACCAGGGTTGCATAGAAAACTCTTGCCCGTAAGATGTTGTGCTTTACTTGTCGTTTGCACGTTGAAGTGTTTTGTACTAACCCGTGCTTGATGTGTCAACCCATCTTCCGCCCTCTCACAGATGTCGCGGAGCAGTGCAGGAAGTTCTGGCGCTTTGTCCGTGAAATGCGTCGTGAGCGCGGCATCGACACCTGCTAGATCATCAACGCGGACCAGACGCCGCTCTGGCTGGAGATGCCCGCCACCACCACCGTTGACCAGACCGGCGTTCGGTCGGTGCCGATCAGAAGCGCGGGGTACCAGAAGGAGAGAGTTACTGTGATGCTGGCGTGCACGGCGGACGGGGTGAAGCTCAAGCCATGGGTATTTTTCAAGCGGAAGACCGTGCCGAAGGGCGATTTCCCGCCGAGTAAGCGCGGTGATTGTTTTAGTGCCATGTGGTTGTTTCTTCCCTGTTGTCGACTGATGATGTTTGTCCGTCTTCGCCTGTGCAGATGTGGTCGTGGCGTGCACGAGAACGTGTGGATGGACGCGGAGGGCGCCATCCGATGGCTTGAGGAGTGCGTCAAGCCTTTCTTGAAGCCCCGGTTCGGCAGATGTGCGAAGAGCTCCATGCTGGTGCTGGATTCCTACCGTGGTCACCTTACCGAGGGGGTGAAGGAGAAGTTCCGCGAGCTCAACTGCGTGCCGGCGGTCATCCCGTCGGGCTGCACGGCGAAGGTTCAGCCCCTCGACGTCTCCATCAACAAGAGCTTTAAGGCTTCAGTCCGCCAGCAGTACCAATAGTGGTTTCAAGAAGAGGGCCAGGAACAGCTGACAGCAGCAGGTACGGTGTAAACGAGATGCATAAGCATGTCTAACCACTCCCCCCCCCCCTCCTTGCTAGCTCTAACGGTTTTTCGTGGTGTCTTTGTCCGTGCAGGGAATCACAAGAAGCCCCCCCCAGAAGTGGTTCTGCGATGGATCTCACGGGCGTGGAAGGCCGTGTCCGCCGACCTCATCAAGCGCGCCTTCCTCACCTGTGGCATTAGCAACGCGCTTGACGGCAGCGAGGACGGCCTCGCCATCGCGTACAGGCGGACCCAGCTGACCGCCGAGGTGGATGTCGACGACGACATCATCGCCGACGGCTTCTTTGGCAACAACTGCCAGGAGCCCGAGTCTGACGAGGAGGAGTAGGTAGTGGTAGTTGGTGCCTTGGTAGAAAGGCCTTTGTAAAGGCCTGTTTATTGAGTTTGAAGTAGGTAGGTAATTGTATTTGTTAGTGCTAGATTATGGGCGCTTCTAATAAGTACGTGTGCAAAATGGGGTGTGCCTATAATCGACGAACAGCCATAAGCGCCATGCTCCAGATAGAAGCGCCGGCGCCTTTAATCGGACGGCGCCTATATTCGGGGCGATACGGTAGGTTTGGATCTCGTGGGATCCTGTTCCTCTCGATCACGTCCGTAGCGCCCGAGCCTGTCCCGTACCCTAGTGAGCGTCTCGCCCGTACTGTCCCTTAGCACCTCTCACGCTCGTCTCTGCCGTGCCTTAGAGCCTACTGCGCCACCTGTCCCGTCCCCTTCCCCCCCCCCCCCCCTCGTCTCTTGCGTCCCATGCGTCCAGCGCATCCCCTCCTGCGCGTCTCGCGCATCTAGTCCCCAGCCCTCGTCCCGTTGGTTCGTCGCGCCCCGTGCGCCCTGCTCGTCCGTCGCGTCCAGTGCGCTCTGCCCGTGCGTCACGCCCCGTGCGCCCTGCCCGTCCGTCGCGCCCCCGCTGCACCCTGCCCGTCCGTCGCACCCTGTGCGCTCTGCCCGTCCGTCACGCCCCCACTGCACCCTGCCCGTCCGTCGCACCCCGTGCGCTCTGCCCGTCCGTCACGCCCCCGCTGCACCCTGCCCGTCCGCCCCGTGCGCCCTGTCCGTCCGTCGGCGCCCCCGCTGCGCCCTGCCCTGCCGTCGCGCCCCGTGCGCCCAGCCCTTCCGTCGCACCCCTGCTGCGCTCTGTCCTTCCGTCAAGCCCCTACTGAGCCTGCTTCGTCCGCTGCGCCCCGTGCGCCCTACCTGTCACGTTTAGGGTTTCGACGATTTCGTTCCCCTACTCTTCGCCTCCGCTATGGCGACCCCTAGGGTCCTGCGCTTTGACGCCGAGGGTAGGCCGCTCGAGTTTTCGCTCTGGCTCCTGCACGCGCGTCGCCTTTTAGAGAGTCAGGTCCAGGCAGGCGAGTCTTTGTGGGCGCACACTTCCGGTGACCTTCATGTGCCTGCAGACCCTACGCCTTTAGGCACTGCCCCTGACGACGCAGCCAGAGACCGCTATGCCCGCCAGCGTGCTGACCTGACGGCGTGGACGTCGCGTGACGCTGCGGCCTGCATCGCCCTTAGCAGCCTCCTCCCTGAGTCTGAGGAGGCCCACTTCACTCAGGTTCGCACTGCTAGTGAGTTCCTGACTGCGATTAAGGCCCGCTACGCTACTCCCACCACTGTCTCTCTTGGTCGGCTGTTCCTACCGTTCTTGTTCCCTGACCTCGCCTCGTTTGAGCGCTCTGCTGACTTGATCGCTCACCTGCGCTCCCTCGACTCTAGCTACCGCGCTGCCTGCACTGACGCACAGCTTGCACTGCTCCCTCCCCCCATGGCGATTACTATTTATTTCATCGCCACTAGCCTCCCTGACCGCCTTGCCTCCGTTCGTGACACGCTTCTTCTGAAGCACCCTAGTGAGCTCACTATCGAGGTCCTTGAGTCTGCGCTCAAGGACGTCGAGAGCAACCTCCGCTCCGTAGCCTCCGCCTCTGGTGCTGTACCCCCTCCGTTGTTTCACGGGTGCACTGTCCCTCAGCTGCCCACCTTTACTGCCTCCCTCGCCACTACTGCTAATGACATGACCGCTGCTGCTATTACGACTTCTTCACGGTCTTGGGGTAGGGGTTGCAAGAAAGGCGGTCTGGGTGTTGGCGGAGGCGGTGGTGGCGGCGGCGACGGCGGCGGGGGTGGCGTGGCGACCAGCAGCAGCGGGAGTGGAGGGCCTGGAGGAGTTTCTCGTGCAGCGGCCAGTGACTCCCCTGCTGCAGCTGGTGGAGGTGACGCCCGGGTTCGTCAGCCACCTACTGGTCTCCCAGCCGCGGGGGGTGGAGCAGAGGAGTGGTACCTGACGCAGCAACAGCCCCTCCCCTCCCAGCAGCCCCTGCAACAGCAGCTGCAGCAGCAGGCTTCGGGGCAGGGGTCAGGACAGCGTCAGCTCCAGCGCAGTGTCGTTCACCCTCCGTGCACCTATCACGTTCTGACAGGTGCTCGCCGAGGCAAGTCTTGTGGCCGCACCCACCCACCGGGTCAGTGCTTTGCTCAGCTTACTGACATGGTCCGCTTGTCCTACAGCGTTGACGGCCCTGCCCCTGACTGGCTTCCTTTTGTTCAATCGTACGGCCCCGCTCTGTGGGGCATGTCGGCTTCTCAGTTGGTTGATCTCTTAGGAACTCCACATGCTATGTATGCTGTTGTTGACTCTAGTGCTTCTGACTCTGTTTACTCGAGTGTTGTTAGCTTAGGTGCTAGTCTTGCTGAGGTGCCTGTTGCTAGTGTAGGTACTTGTGTAGACACTAGTCCAGGATCTGCTTTGGAGGACGCTTCGCTGTCTTTCACTCTGGACTCCGGAGCTTCGCACTGTTTCTTCCGCGACCACACGACACTTACACCGGTTCCTGCGCCGGTCTCTGTAGCACTGGCTGATCCCACTTCGGGACCAGTCACTGCTCGCTACACTACTACGCTTCCGTGCCCAGCTGTTCCCTCAGGCTCTCTTACGGGCTTCTGTCGAGAGAATTAGGCAAAAGAGGGGGCTGAACTAGCAAGAATGGGGATACAAATAGCAAACCCTAGAAGGGTTGTACTCGCTACAGAGCACCCCACTGCAGGCTAGACAAATATAACATTCTGACACACCCCCATAGCCAAAGTGGGGTGTAATCAGCAGAGCAAGCAAAGCAGTACAAGCTCAGGGTGGATCACGATGTCACCACACATTCTGAGCACAAGTTCAAGAAGCAACAGTTTATAAGTTATGAGCAAAGCTAGAGGCGGTCACAGAGGACAAATGAGGAGGAGGAGGGCTGGCGAGAGGAGAAAGGAGTGGAGGCGACGACTGAAGCTGCAGACACACGGGCATCAGACGGCTCTGGCGCAACGCTAGTGGCTACCGGAAGCAGAGCCCCGGACTACAGGGGTAATAGTCGCTGCGGAGGGTGCAGCGGACCCACGGGCGACAGGTGCAGCCAGCTCTGTGAGCTACCGGAGGTCCGCGGAACCCCGGAATACAGGTGCTGCGGACGACACGACGGCAGTCTCCGCTCAACCTCCCCCAACAGTCCCACACCCCTCGACACACACCCCTTGCTTCACCCCTAGCTCCACTCCCACGGTACCCCCCCTTAAACCCCAAACCCTAGACTCCCACACACCACCCCCCTCAGCGGCAGCTGCAGTAGAGGGAGACTAGGGAGGAGGAGGAGTAGGTAGAGTAACGCACAACCGACACCCCCACAGCCGCCACCCCCACACTCCCCACCCCCAAACCCTAAAACGGGCGAAAGGGAGAAGGAGCGCGGGGGACGGCGAGGGGGAAGGCGCGCGACCCCCAGGGCGCCACCTCTGGGCAGCGGGGGCCGCGCGCGGCTCCCCAGGGCGCCTCGACGGGGCAGCGGGGGGCCGCGCGCGGCTCCCTAAGGCGTCGCGACGAGGCAGCGGGGGCCGCGCGCAGCTCCCCACGGCGTCGCGACGAGGTAGCGGGGGGCCGCGCGCGGCTCCCCAAGGTGTCGCGACGAGACGTCGGGGGCGACGCGCGGGGCTGCGGGGCGACGCGGGGGGTCGACGGCGACGGGGGGAGGGCGCTTCGACGGTGGGAAACCGCCGCGCGCCTCGGGGCGCACGGCGTGCAGAAAACCGCCGCGCGCCCCGAGCGCACGGCAGGAAGAAGTCGTCGCGCGCCCGAGGCGCCCGGCAGGAAGTACAGCAGCGGAAGCATTAGGTGGTGGGCCCACCCACAGGATCGACCCAGGAGGGTCGACCTGCTCTGATAGCATGTCGAGAGAATTAGGCAAAAGAGGGGGCTGAACTAGCAAGAATGGGGATACAAATAGCAAACCCTAGAAGGGTTGTACTCGCTACAGAGCACCCCACTGCAGGCTAGACAAATATAACATTCTGACAGCTTCTACGTCCCCTCGTTCTCGAGGAACTTGGTGGGTGTGAGGCCACTCGCGAGTCAGCACGTGGGTGTGTGGGTTGAGCCCTCTGGCAAGACTGCTATTTGTGTGGACGGGGACTCGAACACGCCTCTCGCCACCGGTACTGCTGAGCCGGGCTCCGGTCTCTACACACTTCACACTGGCCCCCGAGGGCGGCAGCAGCAGCAGCAGCAGCGGCAGCAGCAGCAGTAGCAGCGGCAGCAGCAGCAGCAGCAGCAGCGGCTCCTGCCCCTGGCCCTTGTCCCTGCCCCCCGTCAGGTCCCCGCGTCTCACCAGGTTGCCGCGTCCCCCCAGGTAGCTGTGTCTGGTCAGGTTCCCGTGTCTGGTCCAGTTGCTGCGTCTTGCTCCTGCCGGTCGCTTGCCCACCCCACCGTTTTGTGGCACCACCGGATGGGGCACCCGTCCATTCCTCGTCAGCGCGCTATGTCCCGTCAGTGTCTTATCTTAGGCCTCCCGCGTGTCCTGCTGTCGCTGCCGCCTTCGCTTGCACCACCGTGCGGTCCTTGCGTCGAGGGTCGGCTGCGCGCCACCCCTCACTCCTCCTCCCTTCGTCTGGCCATCGAGCCATCGGAGACTCTCCACTTGGACGTCTGGGGCCCCGCCTCTCGCCCTGGCCCTGAGCGCGAGCGTTTCTTTCTGGTGGCCGTTGACGACTTCTCCCTCCCGCTACACCACAGTGTTTCCCCTGGCGAAGAAGTCTGAGGTGACTTTTACCCTGATCAGGTGGTTGCTTACCACTGCGAACATTCGTGGTCGTCGTGTCAGCTGTCTTCACTCCGACCGTGGGGGTGAGTTTCGCTCCGGCATACTCGCTGGATTCTGTCGCGAGCAGGAATCAGTCAGTCCTGGACGCTTCCAGAGTCCCCACAGCAGAAAGGGGTTACTGAGCGCCGCATCGGCTTGGTCATCGAGATTGCCCGCACCTCCATGGCTCATGCCTGTGCCCCCCATTTTCTGTGGCCCTACGCGGTTCGGTACGCCGCTCACCAGCTGAACCTCTGGCCACGTGTCTCTCGGCCAGAGGTTTCACCGACCAGTCTTTGGACCGGGTCCCCTGGTGTTGCGTCGGGTTTTTGTGTCTGGGGTCGCTTGGCTCTTGTTCGTGACACCTCCGTGGACAAGATCTCACCTTGAGCCGTTCCTTGTGTCTTCCTTGGTTTCCCAGAGGACTCCTCTGACTTCACCTTTTACCACCCACCCTCTCACCGGTTCTTTGACTCCCGTGACGTCCGTTTCTAAGAGTTCGTCCCCTACTACGTCAGGTACCCCTGTCGAGGTCTCCCGGTTCCTCCCCCCCCCTCTCTTCCTGACTTCCGCCCCCTCTCCTTCTCCCCCGGTACAGCCTCCCCCCACTGGTCCAGCCCCGTCAAGTGTTTCCCACGCTATCCCTCCCCCTTGGTGGCCCCTCAGGTGCAGTCTCCTTCCCCGCAGTCCTCACCGCAGCCTATTGCAGACCCTGTGGAGGGCGGTGTTCATGGCGAGGACCCTGGGGGTGCTGGCTCTAGCGGAGTTGGAGTTGGTATTAAGGGCGTTCGTGTGCCGGGTCCTGGTTCTGGGGGTGCTGGAGTTGGAGCTGAGCCCGTGCCTGCAAGAGGCTCTTGTCTTCCGAGACCTGGTGTTGGTCGAGCTGACTCCGAGGGTACTACGACTGGGGGTGCGGGTGCGCCCTTTGCGGGCCCTGGCGAGTCTGGCCGTGTTGTTGTTGGTGGTGCTGGCTCTTGGGGTGACGCGTCTCGTGCTTTGGAGAGCAGTCCTGGGGCTACCGTGGCCCCGGACACTACTCCTCCTCCCCACCCCTACCCGACTAGGCACCAGGCTCGTGTTCGCCGTGCCCGTGAGGAGCAACTGGAGTTGGAGAGAGAGGCGAGAGAGACGGAGCAGCAGCTACTGGCGCTCCAGCGGCTGGAGGAGCAACAACAGCAGCAGGAGCAGCAGCAGCAGCCGCAGCAGCAGGAGCAGCAGCAGCAGAAACAGCAGGAGGAGCGGTCGCAGCCGTAGCAGAAGCAGCAGCAGTCGCCCCCTCCTCCTCCTGTCTCTGGTCTTCGGACCCTCGGTCTCCCCTCTCCCTCTCCTTCCTCCTCCCCCTCTCCTCCTGTCTACGATCCCACGTTTCCTCCTCCTGGCTCTTCTCCAGCTATTTTCCCTCGTTCTCAGCCTCCGTTGTCCCCTCCTCCTTCCCACACATGGCCCTCTCGTCATCCTCCGAGTGCTCGTCCCTCGTCCCCTGTCCCTCTCACTGACCTTCGTACTGTCCTGTTCCGTCCTAGTCCGCCTCGTTCGTCTCCGTCTGTGCTTCCTTCTCCTCCTGAGTCGGCCCTCACTGCTTCCCTCTCTACTCTTGTCACTGACTACTACCGCACGTACCGTCCTGTTCTCTCTCGTGTTCTCGCCTCTCTTGTTACCGACCCTCGTGCCTCTCTGTCCTCTGTCTCCGCTCTTACTGCCGCAGTCACTAAGTTTGCCTCTACTCGCCGCCTTGACTACGCCACCAGTCTTGTGGCCGCTCCTTCTACCAGTCCTCTGGCTATCGGGGGTGAGTCTACCCTTGGCTGTGACGCCCTAGAGGACAGGCAGTTTGAGCTAGAGTTCCTGGCTGCCGCTTCCCCTCATCTCTGTACCATTCTCCTCGCCCCTGAGGGAGACCCCGACGCCCTTGACATACCGACTCCTCGCACTTACGCTGAGGCAGTGTCAGGGCCTTGGGCCTCTCAGTGGAGAGCTGCCATGGACGCAGAGATGGCCTCCTACAGATCCACAGGCACCTACGGCGACGAGGTTCCCCCCCCTAGGGCGAACGTAGTCGATGGCATGTGGATCTACAGGGTGAAGCGGCCACCGGGATCTCCTCCGGTCTTCAAGGCGCGCTACATGGCTAGAGGTTTCAGTCAACGCGAGGGAGTCGACTTCTTTCAAACCTTCGCGCCTACCCCGAAGATGACCACTCTTCGGGTGTTACTGCACGTAGCAGCACAGAGAGACTACGAGCTACACTCTCTCGACTTCTCCACTACCTTCCTTCAGGGTAGCCTACACGAGGAGGTCTGGTTGCGTCGTCCCTCTGCCTTCACTGGCACTTTCCCTCCTAGGACCCAGTGGAGGCTGAGGCGACCGGTCTACGGTCTCCGTCAGGCTCCTCGTGAGTGGCACGACACCCTTCGTTCTACCCTGTCTGACCTTGGTTTCCAGCCGTCTTCTGCCGACCCGTCGCTGTTCGTTCGTCGTGGCTCCACACCGTTCTTTGTTCTGGTCTACGTCGACGACCTGGTTTTTGCCACTGCTGACAGGGTTGCTTTGGCAGACGTGAAGTCCGAACTGCAGAAGAGACACACGTGCACTGACCTTGGTGAGCTGCGCCACTACCTTGGCCTGCAGATCACCAGGGACAGAGCCGCTCGCACCATTACACTCTCACAGTCACACATGGTGCAGCAGGTCCTTCAGCAGTTCGAGCTTCAGCACTCCACAGTACAGCGCACACCTCTTGCTGTTGACCACAGACTCACTGGTCCCTTTCCTGACGAGCCGTTTGAGCCTAGTGGTCCCTACGCAGAGCTGGTGGGCTGCCTCATGTACCTGATGACTTGTACTCGCCCGGACCTTGCCTTCCCTCTCAGCATCCTTGCTCGCTTTGTTGCGCCAGGGAGACACCGTCCTGTTCACTGGACGGCAGCTGTGAGGGTGGCGAAGTACCTAGCGACGACATCAGGCGTGGGGCTAGTACTTGGAGGGCAGCAGTCTGTCGTACTTACTGGTCACTGTGACTCTTCTTACGCTGACGACGCTGAGACTCACAGGTCTACTCAGGGGTACTGTTTCAGCCTGGGTTTTGGAGCTGCATCGTGGAGGTCCACGCGTTCCTCCTCGGTCTCGACCTCTACCGCTGAGGCTGAGATCTACGCTGGTGCCATGGCGGCACAGGAGCTGCGTTGGTTGACCTTCTTGCTCGCCGACCTTGGTGAGCGGCCGAGCTCTGCACCGACCTTGTTCACTGACAACAAGGCGTTGATTCTCCTCTTTCAAGAGCCGCGACTAGAGAGCAGAGTGAAGCACATCAATGTCAGGTACTTTCTTCTGCGAGAGTTGCAGAGACGTGGACAGGCTCGCTTCGAGTTTGTGGAGTCCGAGGCCAACATTGCAGACATCTTCACCAAGGCGCTTCAGCCTTGTGACCACCAGAGGTGTTGTGTGCAGTTAGGCCTTGTTGACACAAGCTCTCGTCGTGTGTAGACTTGAGTTCTCTGCTTACTTTGCTTGTACACTTTGCTTATAATTTTTTGTGAACTCTTGGACTGGCCATGTGGCCTTTGTGCTTGTGCTCGGAATGTGTGGTGACATTGTGATCCACCCTGAGCTTTGTTTCTTTGTGACTGGTCTTGTGACCGTACACTTTTGGTTTTGCTTGACACCCCTCACTTAGACTATGGGGGTGTGTCAAATGTTGTAGTCTTAGTGATGTGTGTCATAGGGGGTACAACTCTTAGGGTTAGGTTTATGTACCCCAACCAACATTGTCAATGCAACACTTTCGATTTTGACAGCTCGCACCATAACCACACCACCACTGTTTGCTTGCACCTGAGTTGCTTGCTCCTCCCCACATGTACTCTATTTTCTTCCTAGTGTTATGTCATGTGACGTTAAGTTTCATGCCATACACGGTACGCAAGGCATCTGCTGGGGACTCGCCATGTGTTTTTGGCCAAAGGGCATGCATGCACCCATCCAAGGTACCTGAAATTGTCACCTTTGTTTGCACCAGAGTCTAAAAAACGGAAATGATGATTGACTATTGTGGGTTGGGGTACATAAACCTAACCCTAACTGCTGTACCCCATATGACACGCATCACTAAAGGCTACAACATTTGACACACCCCCATAGCCTAAGTGAGGGGTGTCAAGCAAAACCAACCGTTTGGTCACAAGACCAGTCACAAAAAAACAAAGCTCGGGCAAAAGAGCCATAAGGCCAGTCCAAGAGTTTACAAAGGTATATGCAAAGCGTACAAACAAAGCAAGCAGAGAACACAAGACGAGAACCTGTGTCAATGAGACCTAATTACACACAACATCTGTGGTGGTCACAAGGCGGAAGAGCCTTGGTGAAGATGTCTGCAGTGTTGGCCTCGGACTCCATAAAATTCAAGCGAGCCTGTCCACGCCTCTGCAACTCTCGCAGAAGAAAGTACCTGACGTTGATGTGCTTCACTCTTCTCTCTAGTCTAGGCTCTCGACAGAGAAGAATCATCGCCTTGTTGTCAGTAAACAAGGTCGGTGCAGAGCTCGGCCGCTCACCAAGGTCGGTGAGCAAGAAGGTCAACCAACGCAGCTCCTATGCAGTCATGGCTCCAGCATAGATCTCTGTTTCAGCGGTAGAGGTCGAGACAGAGGAGGAACACGCGGACCTCCACGAAACAACTCCAGAGCCCTGGCTGAAGAAGTACCCCTGAGTAGATCTGTGAGTCTCGACGTCGTCAGCGTAAGAAGAGTCACAGTGACCAGTAAGTACGACAGACTGTCTCCCTGAGCAGATCTGTGAGCCTTGACGTCGTCAGCGTAAAAAGAGTCACAGCCCCTCGCTAGGTACTTTGCCACCCTCACAGCAGCTGTCCAGTGAACAGGACGGTGTCTCCCTGGCGCCACAAAGCGAGCAAGGATGCTGAGGGGGAAGGCGAGGTCCGGGCGATGACAAGTCATCAGGTACATGAGGCAGCCCACAAGCTCTGCGTAAGGACCACTAGGCTCAAACGGCTCGTCAGGAAAGGGACCAGTGAGTCTGTGGTCAACGGCAAGAGGTGCGCACTGTACGGTGGAGTGCTGAAGCCCAAACCGCTTAAGGACCTGCTGCACCATGTGTGACTGTGAGAGTGTAATGGTTGAAACGGCTCTGTCCTTGGTGACCTGCAGCTCACCAAGGTCAGTGCACGTGTGTCTCTTCTGCAGTTCGGACTTCACGTCAGCCAAAGCAACCCTGTCAGAAGTGGCGAAGACTAGGTCGTCAATGTAGACCAGTACAAAGAACGGTGTGGAGCCACGACGAACGAACAGCGACGGGTCGGCAGAAGACGGCTGGAAACCGAGGTCAGACAGGGTAGAGCGAAGGTGTAGTGCCATTCATGAGGCGCCTGACGGAGACTGTAGACCAGTCACCTCAGCCTCCACTGGGTTCCAGGAGGGAAAGTGCCAGTCAGGGTAGAGGGACGACGCAACCAGACCTCCTCGTGTAGGCTACCCTGAAGGAAGGCAGTAGAGAAGTCGAGAGAGTGTAACTCATAGTCTCTCTGTGCTAATCTTCGGGGTAGGCGCGAAGGTCTGAAAGAAGTCAACTCCCTCGCGCTGACTGAAACCTCTAGCCACGTAGTGCGCCTTGAAGACCGGAGGAGATCCCGGTGGCCGCTTCACCCTGAAGATCCACATGCCATCGACTACGTTCGCCCCAGGGGGGGGAACCTCGTCGACGTAGGTGCCTGTGGATTTGTAGGAGGCCATCTCTGCGTCCATGGCAGCTCTCCACTGAGAGGCCCAAGGCCCTAACACTGCCTCAGCGTAAGTGCGAGGAGTCAGTATGTCAAGGGCGTCGGGGTCTCCCTCAGGGGCGAGCAGCATGGCACAGAGATGAGGGGAAGCGGCTGCCAAGAACTCTAGCTCAAACTGCCTGTCCTTAAGGGCGTCAGAGCCAAGAACAGACTCACCCCCGACGGCTAGCGGAGTGGTAGGAGGAGCACCTACGAGACGAGTGGCGTAGTCAAGGCGGCGAGTAGTGGCGAACTCAGTGACTGCGACAGTAAGGGTGGAGACAGAGGACAGAGAGGCACGAGGGTGTGTAACAAGAGGCGTGAACACGCGAGAGAACAGGTCAGTACGTGCGGTAGTAGTCAGTGACAGGAGTAGAGAGGGAAGCAGTGAGGGCCGACTCAGGAGGAGAAGGAAGCACAGACGGAGACGAACGAGGCGGACTAGAACGGAACAGGACATTATGAAGGTCAGTGACTGGGACAG